CTCAAGCCTATGTGTACGCGCATGCGATGACGTTCCCACACATGCTGTAGGAATATTCGAACTGAGAAACTTATATTTTGGGAAGACCCATAAAACCCGACTATCTGATTATTTCTTACAAATATTTCCCATAAAATAAGTACAAAGAAATAAGCTCTAAATGTTATCGTACATGAATCTGTAGTTCGAATTAAATTAAATTTATTGCCCATCTCTTCAATATTCCCTCGACTAGGTAAAATGCATTAGCCAAAGTAATGCATTTTAACAAAACATAAATTAAGAACAATTTTGGGTATTATATATTGAAATTGTAATGAAGTCTAATTTAATGCCACTTCTGTAACTAATAATCATTACCAAAAACGTTATAATGACACTTTTATAAGAACCTAAAGATACAACAGTGAACAGCAACAAATCAAGTAACATGAAATACTTTATCTAACACACGAGAAAATAAATTTTTCCCATTACCCCACCAAATCTCATAAATCAATAAAAGATACCATTCACGTTACTAGTTCATCCTTATAAGCCATAGAAATTAATAGCACACTTTATCAAGTAAAAACCTTGATACCTGTGGGTACACCTATGAATATAGTGACCGAACTAAAAAATACAGTTTCCTTTACATCTAAACCAGCAGCAGGCATATGATATGCACGCAAAAGAAAGCATAGCAAACAATCGTCTGGTTTTAATCTTATCTGTGATCCCAAAACCAAGCTACACTAGTAAAGCCTGACTGGTTCAGAAATCTCTGTGGCGGATTCTCCTACATCTAGCTAGACTCCCATAACTAGTTAGGTAATAGCCCAGCTATAGAGGAAACAGAAGTACAGCACAGAACACGTTTATTCAGCAAATATCTTGCGGGCAAAGGGAATACTCAGGGAGCTTAATCATAATCAGCATAGCGGATTAGGTTAACCAAACGGAGGCCTCTGATTGGCCACTGGTTGTACGGTTGTCCGCACAAAATTGTAGGGCAGTATTTGGTCCACTGACGAGAGTCCTGTTTGATATTTCTCCAGAAGCAACGATCGGTGATCAAGGTTCTTGTCGAACGGATGTTTAGTTGCGACAATCCATGACCGAAATCTTCCGGCGTGTGCTTGCCTGACGATTGGTCTCGGCTTGCCAGTTCAAACAAAGCAGTGCGTTGGAGTGTTGGCTTCCTGTAAGAGTAGGCTTTCGAAGAGTAATATGCTCCGGCAGTTATTTTTCATTTTGTGAAAGGACGAGGTTCGTGAGTCTCGTAGAGATAGACATTCGAGACGAAACGCGTTCCCGTTGTTGTCTGTTTCCATAGGCGTTCTGGGGGAGTCATAGCGGGTGAAAGGAGAGCGTTGGATTGCCATTGAGTTGTTGGTCGTTCGTGTGGAAAGGAACCATCAGGTGAGTAGAGCGATGTGAAGAACAAACGCGTCGGGAATGAGAGATCGTGTCTCTGCTGAGCGGAAGAAGTCAGGATTTGACATATTGTTGGTAATGGCAGAGGACGGAAGGTGGTCATTCGAGCAGAAAGGGATCACCGAATGAATTAACTGATGCGAAGAAAAAATCGCGGTGCCAGTGAGATTTCTACTAAAGAAGCAATCCGCTACAAATTGGTGACTCTGACGTGATTGCCAAGGCTTGACTTCAAATAACTCAGAAGAGGACCAATCTCACACATGAATCACGATTACTCCCTTAAATCGCTCAACGCTTCAATTCTTCATTCTTATTGACTCCTATCCTACTCCCACCATTCGCCGACCCACATCATGTCCAAAGAAACAGACTTTGACCCATTCAGTATCAATAAGAGCCGGCCAACCTTCAATCCAGCATGTACGGAAATCTGGTTTTTTTCGGTTCGAGAATAGGCTCAAAATAAAAGGCATCTCGGTTCGTTCATCTGACAGGAAATCAAATACCCCTCCAGAACAAATGCACTCACAGGCCCTTGAGACAATCAATGTTAACTATCCTGGAGATCAATGGCTTCAAGTCTTCACTGATGGGTCTTACATAGAAAACCAAGCAAACGTTGGTACAGGTGTCTACTCTGAACTCTTCTCTTTCTACGCAGCAGTGGGACACAATAGATCCGCTTTCGAAGGAGAAATAGAGCCCATTAGGATAGCACTATGCCAATTATATTGCCCGGATACGAGATTCATAAAAGTGGTGATACTTCTTCAGCAATAAATTCAATTGGAAACAGAGAGCCACCCAAAATAGATGAGATATACGAATGTAAAAAAAATCTATCAGCTGCTGAGAGAGAAAAACAAACAGTGGTCCGAAAATGGATTCCTGGTCACAGTGGCATTAAAGGCAATGAACTTGCTGTCGCGCTTGCTAAGAAGGAGACAACGATTTTGCAAGGCATAGGGAGAATTCAAGACCTCAAGGTACAACGAACTTAAAGCTCGGTAGGAGAAATAGTGGACAGTGGCACTCTCCGACATACCCGGCTGGCGAGAATCGAAGCCGTTGCTGAGTTTAGACTACGTATCGGACAGTCCACACAATGAAGGCCTTAATCAGGAGAGAATTCATGTCAAGGACACAATGGAGGCCTTAATCAGGAGAGAATTCCAGACCTCCGTGCAACGAAATTAAAGCTCGAAACCGGCCGATGTCTTTCCACACAATGAAGGCCTTGATCAGAAGAGAATTTCAGACCTCAAGATGCAACGAACTCAAAGCTCGAACAAAGGAGAAATAGTGGACAGTGGCACTCTCCGAATAGAGGAGAAATAGTGGACAGTGGCACTCTCCGACATACCCGGCTTTCCAGACCTCAAGGTTCAACGAACTCAAAGCTCGAACAACAGAGAAACAGTGGACAGTGGCACTCTCCGACATAGCCGACTAGCCAAGAATCAGAAACAGTGGACAGTGGCACTCTTCGATATAGCAAAGGAGAAACAGTGGACAGTGGCACTCTCCGATATAGCCCCAAAGGAGAAATAGTGGACAGTGGCACTCTCCGACATACCCGGCGGCGAGAATCGAAGCCGTTGCTGAGTTTAGACTACGTATCGGACAGTAGTGGACAGTGGCACTCTCCGACATAGCCGACTGGCCAAGAATTGAAACTATTGCTGAGTTTAGACTACGTACCGACACGATTGCCTGCCAAAACACCTTCACAGATTGGAGTATACACTCAACTCACATACCCCCTATGTAACCTACAGGAGGAAATGGAGAAGACCCACCTGATTCGGTGTCCAGCCCTAAAGACAACGACGGAAATCCAGAGATACTGGGAAGCAAGAAGACAGCTAGTGAACTGCTATGTATGTGCGTCAGAGTTTGTCATGAAACGAGATTACGATCTGCTATTACCACCTACGGGGACAACGCTAAGAAATGCACCCCGTGGTGTCAATTCCGCAGAATCAAAAAGCGCAGTCCGGAGGGAAAATATCACGTCAGGGTCACCAATTTATTGCGGATCACTACACTAGTAAAGCTTGGCTGACTGAGAAATCTCTGTGGCAGATTCTCCTACATCTAGCTTGACTCCCAGAACTACCTAGGCGATAGCCCAGGTGTAGAGGAAGCAGACGATCAGCCCGGAACACGTCCACCAACAAGTAACCTATGGGTAAATTTAATACTCAGGGAGCCTAATCATAAACAGTATAGCGGATTAGGCTAAACAAACAGAGGTTTCTGATTGGCCACTGGTTGTACGGTTGCCTGCACAGAGAGTTGCACGGCCGCACCTCCCGATTCTGGCGTGCGTGCATGTGATGAAGCGTTAAGCGATGACGTGTCCCACAGCAGTAATGTTATCAATTTCTTCAATTTGATATTGTCAGCGAACACTTTTAACTATAATAGTAATCTAGCAACCAAAAATAGTTCATATATTACAATCCTTGCTCATGTATATTTAGAATTGGAACACAAATAAATTAGCAAAAAAATAAGTAAATCAAGTACATTCGAATCTTAAAGAACTAAGTCAAAACCCATACTTATGCATATTAATTAATGATATTCTTAATATTCTTCTTCATTTAAATTAACTTTTATTAAAAAATAAATTACTTTAAATAAACACGAAAAATAATAAATCATGTAAAGATTTATTTATTTCAAATGACAGGCGTTTTGATAGTCATCATTAGCTCTTTAGCTGACTTC